GCGTCCTTCTCTTTCTTAGCCTTTCTTAGGGCTCTCTTCTCCTTGATGATATCTTTATTAGAGGGCCCTTTCTCGGTCTTGGCGTTCGTCACCTGTTCGTTGTTGATCGTTCGGTTGGTAATCGTCTGATTGGTGATTGTCTGGTTGTTGACAGTCTTGTTGGTTATCGTGTGGTTGGCAATCTTCTGATTAGTCTTTGCGCTATCTTCTACGCTCTCCTTCCCCTTGGCTGGACCATCTGCGCTCTTCTGATCTTTAGTCGTATTGTCATGTTTGGTACCTGAGGCAGCAGCTTCTTTCTGTGCGTTGGCTTCTTTCTTCGCGGCTTTCTTGTCTTGCTTCGCTTCCTTCTTCGCCTTCCGCGCTTCCTTTATCTCAGCCTCCGTACGCGCAGGTCGTTTAGCAGCATCTTTTTGTGTGTCGTCTGTTCCTTCCTTAATCGGTTCACCTGCGCTCTCTTGTTGAGAATTGGAATCATTCCCCGCAGCCTTATCTAACCTCTTTGCCTCTTTCCTGTCCTTTCTTCCCTGCAAGACCAACTCTCGATCCATCACAGGTTTCTTCTTGGCACCGTTCGCATTCGCGCCGTTTCCGTTGTTGATGCCTTTGCCTTGAGCGTTGGGGCTATTAGGATTCTGCGCAGCCTCCAAATTTGCCTCTTGCGCTTCTCGCCCCGCCTGTGCGTGTTGCCTTGGTCCTGGTACGCCGTGCATACCCAGGTGTAGTTCATCATCACGTCCATGACTGGCGTGATCCATGTGATTCTCACCTTGGTGACCACGATCCCTAGTATCGCCGCGCTGCATGTATGGGTGTCTCTCTTGACGTAGTCCGTTACCATGTCCTTCTTCGGCGTGATCCGGATGATTTCCGCCTGGGTGACCATAACCTCTAGAATCGCCATGTCGTGTATCTGGGTATCTTCCCTGTTGATGGACATGGTTACTGTCCCAATGGCGACCGTCTTGTCGACCCTGTTGTTCTTGTCTCGCATGATCTTGATGATTTCCGCCCGGATAGTCATGACCTCTAGAATCGCCATGTCGCGTATCTGGGTATCTTCCCTGTTGGTGGCCATGGTTACCGTCCCCATGGCGACCGTCTTGTTGACCCTGTTGTCCAGGTTGTCTTGCGCGATCTTGATGATTTCCGCTTGCGTGATTAGGACCTCTAGGGTCGCCATGCTGCGCATCTGAGTGTCTACCTCGTTGGTGGCCATGATTGTCATCCGAATGACTGCCATGTTGTTGATCATGATGTCCTTGGGTTTCATCATGCCCTCCAACTGCCCTGTTTCCATCGGCTTGCGGTCTCGCCATAGCATTACCAGCCTCCATCTGTCGCTCTTCCTCCTCTTCCTGCATACGCTGCCTCTCCTCTTGTTGGCGATTCTTCTTTTCCTGATCAGCAGCCTTCTTGTGCGCTCGCTCTTCGTCTTCGCTCTCCTTTCTCAATCTCTTCTCCTCAGCTTCAGTGCCTCGTCGAGCCTTTTTATCTTCTAGTTCGGCCTGGCGTCTCTGGACCTCCATTCCCCGCTCGGCACGCTTTGCTTCTTGTTCCATGGCATGTTCTTCCATACGATGGTTAGCTTCAGCAGCCGTGGCCTCCATCGTGCCGCGCTTTTCAGCTAAATGCATCTGCCTCTGGGCTTCTCGCTCCGCCTTTCTGGCCTCTTGTGTCACGGAGCGTTCTTCAATGCGTTGAGATGCTTCCTCTGCTCTGAGCTCGGCTTGCTCCTGTGCTCGTTGAGTCTTCTCGGCCGCATCGAGTTCTCTTTGAGTCTTGCGGGCCTCTCTATCGATTTCCTGTTGCTGTTGTCGCTGAACGGCATCCTCAGCTTTACGTTCTCGCATTTCCTCTGCCCGTGTCCTTTTCATCTCTATATCATTCGCCCGCTTAGCCTTCTGGGCTTCACGGTCCATCTCGCGCTGTTCTTTCCGCCGTTCATCATCCTCGGCCTTTCGTTCGCGTTTGGCCTCCTGATCTTCCACTCGACGAGTCTCACGTTCCTCTCGATCAGCCTCTTTCTGTTCATCCTTTCGCTCTTTCTCTTCAGCCTTCTTTTCATCCTTTCTCTCCTTCTCTTGAGCTTTCTTCTCATTCTTTGCTGCCTTCTCCTCCGCCTTCTTCGCATCTTTCTCTTGCTTTGCAAACTGGCGAGCTTCATCTGCTGCCTGCTTCCGAGCAGCTTTATCTGCAACTTCTTGGGCTTTCTGTTGTTCTCGCAACTGTTGCTGTTGGTACTGTGCCTGTTGTTGTGCCTGATACTCTTCATCGTCTTGGGCTCTTTGTTGTTCTTGCCACTGTTGCTGCTGCTGGAAGGCCCGCTGCTGTGCCTCGGCCTTTTCGGCTTCCTGATCAGCCCAGTCCGCATCTTCCCTGGCGGCGAGTTCATCTTCCGCATGCTTCTGCTGCGCTCGTTGCATCTGAAGTGCTTGTTGACGCTGTGCATATTCGAACTTTCGCTGGGCAGTCTCGCTGGCCGCCGCTTCTGCGGCTTCTTGCTGTGCTGCGAGCTCATCTTCTTCCTCTTCCTCTTCCTGCGCTTGCTGCTGTGCTAGCTGTCTCTGTTGCATGGCAGCTTGCATATTCTCTTGGCGCTTCCTGTCAATTTCTTGTCTTTGGGCTTGGATCTGTTGTCGCTGCGCTTGATAATGCGCTGCTTCCGCCGCGGCTTCGGCCGCTTCCTGTTCTTGCGCCATTCGCTCGTCTGAAGCCTTCTTTGCCAGTGCAGCTCTGATCTGCTCTTGGCGTTGCCGCTCCATTACCTGATCCTGAGAAGGCATCTGCATTTGGCGTTCTGCTGACTCGTATGATTGTCTTTGAACAATTGTTCCCCGCGCTAGATCGTCATAGTCGTCGGTGCCTTCTTCCTCCCCTTCTGCTTCTTCCATATATTCTTCATATTCGTCTTCCGCTTCTTCCTCTTGTATCGAATGCTGATAGGGCTGCTGCCATAACGGCAGGCTTGTTCGGGAGGTTTGCGCAGTTTGCGGAGGAGACGGAGCAACATCTTGGAAGTGCTGTTGTTGAAGAGAGATATCTTGGCGCCGATCTGGTTGTCTCAATTCAGAAGGCGTATACGGATGCACTGGAGCTCTTAGACTAGAAGTTTGGCGTTGCTGCGGAGGCATTGCCTGGGGATCGTGGCCATTCGGTCCTGGCCTCAGTGCTTCTGGAACCACGGAAGCTTGTTGAGGGTAGCCAACAGGCGGTACTTGGACATTGCTAGCTGACTTATGATGTGGCAACCCGCCGTCTTCATGTTCGCTGTCGCTCTCAGATGTCTCATCGTCTGAAGCTCGTTCATAGTCACTGCCGTCAACGTCGCTGTCTTCCAAGTGCTCATCTTCGTCGTCCCCTGTACCTTCAATCTTGCTATCAAACTCCTCTTCCACGTCACTATCGTCTTCTACTTTGTCTCTAGTATCTTCATCGCTGACTTCGCTAGGATACGACTCATCGGTGTCGTAGTCATCAGTGGGAAGTCCTTGATTGCGTGGATCAATAGCGACATGAACAGCGATGACTGGTTGTGCGACCGCCATGATATATGATTTCGTTGGTATGTAACTCGATTAATTGAACTAAGAAGTAGGTAAAATCAGGCCTGCCTGTATGATGTGAGAAGTTGGTGTCTATTTGGGGTAAATATAGTCAAAAGAATGGCCTTAGAACCTTGGCTACGCCTAGGACTTTATACATGGCATAGGAGATATTCCAAAACCAGATTGTGAAGCTTTCGTTGAATGTGCGGCATTGATGTCGAACTCGAGTGCGTGAAGAGGCTCAGACCATCACCAGATCAGCACCTGGAAGCCTGTGTTCGTCATACCCTCGTGTATAATCTTGAAGTCTGAGAACTGTGACTGACCTGTTCTTCTGAATTCTTTTCAAGAGCACTTCAATATCTATATTCTAACTGAATTCCTATTCGAGCAACAAGCATAATGACCCCACGATCAAACTTTCAAGTAAAAAGCATCGCGCGTGCTCGTTGTGATATAGCAGTTCTTCAAAAGTTAGAGAGTGAAGTTTAGCCTTCCAGTGAATTGTTTATTACAAGCACGCTGACCATAAATTTAGCTCTCTGGGAGTGTGCAGACATAACCAGACTTAACCACTGCGCTTACACCCATCGCCTAGGATTAAACCAAACAGCCGGGAACTGCACAGAAGCTCTACCGAATTCGAAATTCCCATCTTTACCGCCAGATAAGCTTCGCAGAAGCCACCTTATCACCAAACCAACAAACGTCCACCTACTATCTCACCACACCTCGCCGCGGCCGACCATGTGCATCGGCGTCAACAGCGAAGTCTGCCCCGAGTGCGGCAACAACGGCAAAGCCCACGACCCCTACTTCCAAGGCGGTACTAAATGGATCCGATGTCCAGCATTCATAAACTCAATGACAGGAAAGGAACCCTCAGGGCCTAAATGCGAATCCATCATGCGCGATCAGATTGGAAAGAAAGGGGACTGTGCAGTCTGTAAATCACGCAAGACATTTGAACAGAGGAAGGCAGAAGGGAAAATGACGCCGAACGAACTGAGACTGGAAAGAATGAGGCTGGCGAAGGAGAGATTTGACAAGGATGTGAAGACCAAGAGAAAGGAGTTGTGGGGAGATCAATAGGGCGGATTTGATGACGGAAATGCTGATGCTGCTTGAATTGAGGAGGGGCTGCATGTATGTTGTGATATTGCGATGTCATTTAGTAGTTCTTCAAGCTTGAAGTGTGAATTTCAGCTTACCTGTAAGATATAAATCGCTCCGAGTCCTCTAAGTATCTACTTCCTCATATATACAGAATTACCAATCAAGAAAACACTACACTTAACACCTCGACTAAACACGTCGATTTGATATCCACCACGCACTCAGCCACCTCACTTCCAACCAGCTCAGCACCCCTTCTGTACCCTAATCAGCATCACCAGAGCCACGTTTCCATCAGACCAACGAACCAAAAGATACTCCCGCGGCAATCCAAACATGTGTACCGGTGTTCGTCCCCAAACATGTCCAAAATGCCACAAAAAAGGCCCCACACGCAAGCCCTACACCCAGATACTGCCAAACATAGTTCTGTGCGCAGCGTCTCGGGCACGAGCATTGGATACAGGCCGCGCCGCCACCCAATGTAAAAATCCACTGTTGACGGACGCTTTCAAACTGCTGCACGACGATTGTGAAGAGTGTAAATTTTTATTCAACCGAAAGGCCGAATCTGTGCGAATGAAAGCGCAGTTGAAGAAGGCGCTGGAAGAATCTGAGGAAGAGAGGAGGAAGGAGGCCGCAATGGAGAAGAAGATCAAGGAGAAAGAGCGAGAGGAAAAGCGAAAAGCTGACGAGCAGAAAGCTGAAAGGCTTAAGCTTGCGAAGGAAAGACTAAAGCTGGAGAAAAGCAAATGGAAGGGTACTGATCCTGCTAAGTTGAGTACATCGTTCTTTCCATCGACTACACCGTTCCTTCCAACGCAGGAAGCTCAAGATAGAGCTAAGGCGGCTGCTGAGAAGATTCCGAAAAAGACGAGGGGAGCTGTGGCGAAGACTCCGAAGAAGACTAAGAAAGTCACCACCAAGGCTGATGAGGCGATGTATATGAGTGCAGTCAATCAACATCGGAAATAGGCTGCTGAGGCTAGTGCTAAGGATAGGAATGCAGGATAGGAGGCTTGTGATAGGTAGATGCGGATATTTACATAGGGATGCGTCGGATTACTGCGCATGTATGTTACTTCAAAGTTGGAAAACGGGGTTAGCGATAAATGAGAACTACTAGTAACACTTTCCATCCGACTTTATGAGTAACAATTATAAACCCATTACCCATCAATTTCCCACGCGCCTGAAACAAAAGTGTCCCCTGCAACCGACCACGGATCTACCTCCACACCCGCATTCCGCTCGAACCGTCCCCTCTGTTTCTCTTCCATCGTTGTGACGGTGAACAACAACCACGAGGGCCGCGCACTGAACCCGGAGGCGCAACCCATCTAGACCTCTTCTGCACCGACCACGGATCTACATCCACACCCACACCCATAATCCGCTCGAACCGTCTCCTCTCCTCTATATACACCTCGTTCTTCCAACTTGTCTCCCAAGCCTTGCGCAAATATGCTCTCGTTTCTTTGATGAATTGCACCCGGGTCTGACGTCTTGGGAATTTTTTCGCATTCCCATCCGCATCCGCATTCTCCAGGACGATGCGTCCAGCCGACGCGAGTAGGTAGTATGACTTCTGGCACGGAAAACAGCAGGGTCGGTATGTGAAGGTGGGAAACCAGTTAACTCCAGGTTCTCTGCCGGGTTTGTGGAATTCGCCTTGCACAATGTATTGGAGGACGTGGAATACATCTGCGTAGATGGTAGACAGCTCCTCAAATAGCTGCTCCGAACTTCTTCGACGGGCATTTTCGGAAGAAGAGAGCTGATTGAGCTGAGTGAGTAGGCAGCGGGCGATGGTGATGTGGAAGTGATAGGAATGTTCTTTTACTTCGTCCCAAACGGCGCGAATATATGGAGGAAGACGTCGTTCATCGAAACGCGTCTGGAGATTGGACAGACGGTCAATTACGCTGATACCTTTTGTGCAGGCGGCTACGCAAGCCAAGTCATTCTTGGCATGCTCAGCGTCATCAGCGCGTTCTCTGTGTATCGAAAGCTCGGTAAGGAGAACATGAGCATCGGGCCAGTATGGTTGTTTGACGATTTGCATCGTGTCTTGTAGAAGATCCTCATGGGTGCAGCCTTCAATCGTGATACGGGCGCAGCCACGGATGCCATCTCGTATGGGTTGTAATAGCTGTTCTTGTGTACGCCGTGAAGGAACCTCGCAATTTCCTTCCTCATCAGTGTTCGGACCTGCGTTCAGTGTGACGCGTAACCTCACCCCGCTATCTGGTACTTTCGTGTGGCCATGGTGCATCCTTTCAATCTCCAATCTCTTGCAGAATTTGCTCAAGTCCGACAACAGCATCACTATCCTGGTTGTCAAGGAGCGAGAGGAGCGAGAGGATTGAAGAAACCGACCGAGCTGAAAGACGAGGTGCATCTCACAATGCGGGAAGACCTTTGGCTCTTCTTCGCTCAAACTGGGGTGCGGCTCAGGTATGCAGCCACCAGTGTGGCTTATGGAAAAGATGTGGATCGGTTGGCTGGGCCCGTGGAACCAGTCTTGTATATTGGCATTCTGAACCTCGACGCACACGAAAATGTCACTGTTTGACAGGAAAGGCTTTGCTTCATCATAAATCTGCTTGTTTGCGAGGAGTATATTAATGCCAAGATGTCGCCGCTTTACTATGGGTGCCCCCGCATGCAGGTTTGAGTATTCGTGGATAGTGTAGGGAGTTGTTGGACAGCTATCGAAGCCTAGCGCAAATTCGTAGACATTGTCTCGTAGCTCGCGTGGTAGACCAAGAAGGCGGAAAGGCTGATTGGTGAGGTGAGTGTTCATGATGCTTGGCATGGATTGTGGTGTAGGAAGGTAGGAGCGTTCAAGGCGCTGAGGTTTACTTGTACACGACTGGCAGTGGCGGCTCGCTTCCACCGCATGTGTCTAGCGCATCGAGACAGAGTCATTCCACTTAGCTCAGACTGCTGCCTGGGCTTACGCAATCACCAACAACGATAAGGCGTGAAAGTCGTAAAGTATTATAGTATTGACAAGGGCGTTGCGCAAACTCGTGGCATTCGCCTCTCGGACCGAATCCAGATAATACGCCAATAGGATAACCGCACTGAAGCGCTACAATACATGCCTAGGCAAGCAAGTTTATAACCGTCCCATCCTGATACCCCTCAACGCCAGAATGTCCGCTCGCCGGCATGACCATCAGTGTGCGTCGCAAAGTCCAGATCCATCGTTGGCCGAACCAACGGCTTGTGTCAATCGGTGACAATTCTTACTCAACGCCCTCGACTTTCCTCAGAAATTCCCTGACACGGCCAACCTCCACACCCTCGCCTTCTTCGCTGTCCAGAGCCGCCACCAGGCCTTCGAGACACTCTTCAATCCTGTTCTCTTCTACCTTTGTGCATAGACTGACGACCTTGCGGTACATCATCTCAAGTTGCCCGTCCTTCTCTTTCAGCATCTTACTCCGTTTGAGTAGTGCACCGTTCGCGTTCGTGTAGGTGTGTAGTCGTTGTTGGAGGACGGAGGCGGCGGGGAGTTGCTGGACTGCATAGGCCTGATATTGTGGCTGATGCGATACCTGTTTGAGCGTTGCGGGATCCAGTGGAATGGTTGTCGACAGATAGGGGGCTCCATCTGATGCGCGGCAATCCAGATGGTCGCCTGCTTGCCGGAGCTCGTAAGGCAAGTCGTCTTCCTTGATGAGCATGCCAGCACCTTCCGCATCGGCGTATCCTATCCTCTTCTTCTCGTGCAAATCGATGTCCCCTGCATTGACAGAAAGCATATGCCGTTGTGGCTCAAGCCAACGCTTCAGATTCGATATCCGCTTAGCGCGATCTTGTCGTAAACGTAACCGAGCACGTAGTGACTCTAGCCTTTGTTGCTCCTGCTTCTGTTGAGTAGATAGTTGGGTGATCAGCTCATTTGTTTGATCTATGGTGTCTTGTTTCAGACGCGCTTCTTGCGTGAACTGCATTGAAGCAGACTGGAGGATACCGTTCATCACTGTGATCGTATTAGCGGGATTCTCGTAATAGATACGAATTCAAACTTACAGGGTTGTATCTCTCGGCTGGTCTCTTCGACCTTGCTCAAGGGCGCCTTGCCCTTGCTGGGGCTGTTTGCGGCGATTATGACTTCGCCGTCGCCGAGATCGCTGCCAACACCAAAGTCGATCGGTCTCGTGCCTTTGTGATTGGGTATGGTCGGATCCGCCTGAACTTCCATGAGCTGAGAGATAATGTTGCGATTGCCTATCCTTGCTGCTAGGTTGAGTGCTGTATTGCCGGCTTTGTCGCGTGCGTTGACCATCTCTTGCATAAACCTCATCAATCCTATTGGTTTCGGGTAGTTGCTGGTGTCGTGGAAAGAAGGCACCTGGTTGGCGCCAATGTTGCTGCGTACGAGATACTCAAGAAGTGCCTCGAGGTAGTACTTGCTGGAGGCCGCACGCCCTTTTATGGCACAGGTCACCGCGATGTGATGCAGTATCGTCCGTCCCTGGGAGTCGCGGAGTTCGATAAGTGGCGCCAGGATCTCGAGCGTTTCTGGGAAGCAGCTGTGGTCCAGGCTGTTGTTGACGGAGACTGCACTCATTAGTGGTGTTTGACCTGAGGCATTTCCTCTGAACATGTTCGCTCCTTTGGAAACCAATAGCCTCATCAACGAAACTCGGGCCAGTGTCGCGGCCCAATGTAGAGCTGTATTTGAGGTGTTGTCAATTGGCATGTCTAGATCTGCGCCAGAGAGGTGAAGGATGGCTGGATGGTTCGTGAAGTCTGTCCTAGTCTGATCCGCGAATAGATCCGTAAGCATGGCTTGCTTCTCTTCGTTGTGCTTAGTGTCGGGGTGCGGTAGAGGTGGCAGGGCCGAGGGAACCTCGCCATCGGGAAGTGCAATGCGCTGTCCTGTCTGGTGTTGGTAGAAGCTCTCGCTTGGTTCTGTCGGCGAGCCAAGATCGCGCATAGACATGTCTGCGCCGTTGGGTTGTGAGTAGGATTCGTCTTGGGATGTTCGCATGCGCTTCCTTGGTGGCTCTTGCGGGTCTTCAAGGCCTGTGCCATATGCTGAGTCGGTGTGTCCGTTCTGCCCGCTGAAACTACGCTCTGATGCTACGCTCTGTTGGCTGCTGGTGCGGAACGATTCTTGGCTGGCGAGGGGTCCTTGTGACGGCCGCGCCATGCTTCTCCGGCCCTGCGAGGAGGAAGCGGGTCGCGGTGCGGGTGAGTTGAGTCGCGCGACCTTGTTCATGGCGGCAAGTGCGCTGGTGGCTGTCGAGGAGATGTTGCTGAAAAAGGTACCGCCGACACTCTGGCTAGTAGTGCGGCCGTCCATGCTCTGGGTGTAGAAGCGCTTCCTGTTTGCTGCCATGGCCTGCTCTTTGGTGGGCGTCTCGATGCCCTGACCCTGTCCCTGATTGCCATCGACGCTGACATCGTAGTCCAGCAGCGGTCGCAAGACATCCTCGACACCGTACTGGCGACAAAACTCTCGTCCGCGGCGGTAGCAGATCCATGTACCCTGGTACTTGCCGTAGCCGCCCTGGACCTTTTCGTGTTCGCCGTTCAGTATTTCCTTCTCGAGGACCTTGGTGCGCTTTCCTTTGTCAACGCCAGCCACCTTGAGGATCTGGGTGGCATTGAGCCAGCCGTCAGAGCGTCGGCGCATAACAGCGACCCGATTGACTTCCATTTCGTAGACAGAGACGCCCGAGTAAACAGCCTAGATTGTCAGCGATCCCGTGCGACTGCGCAAGTGCGGTGGTGGTGGTGCATACGGTGTATATCTGGGGCTTCTCCATGGCGTGCTGCTGGTAGCCGTTCATGTCGGAAAAGGACCGGTTGAAGCCAGCGGGCGCAGCCATGAGTCCCTGGCTGTGGGGAGAGTTGGCGTACATGGCCGACTGGGGCGGCGAACCTGCGGGAAAGGATAGCGACGTGCGCGCGACTTGCATTATGTCAGCGCAGTGCTGGCGGGCGTGGTGATG